GCGAGGGGCGGGGCCGGCGTGGGGCGGGGCGCGGAGGAGGGGCGGGAAGGCTCAGGGGGACAGGCCTGCGCGGGAGCAGGAAGGGGGACAGAGGGCAGGGCGAGGCTGGCCACTCGGAGGGGTGTAGGAGTCGTGCTGTCCCCACAGGTCCACCCAGAACCGGAGGAGAGGTGTGGACCTGGCGTGGCCGCTGGTCCCCGTGGCTGGTCTTCTGGCCCCTCTCAAGACTTGGCAGGCGCGGGCGGGCAGCATGAGATCTGGGGTCCCACTGGGTCTTTCCCTCTCCCCAGTTCTTACCCTGCCTCTCCGCCTCCTTCAAGCTCGTTCCGCCAGCATTCGGAGGGCCTCCCTGCCACCTTTAGAGACAGCTAGCTGGGGGCTGAGGACAAATACAGGCACTGCCCTATAAGCCACATGACGGAGAGGTTCTTGGGGCCTGGGCCTGCGTGCAGTTGGGATGTGCAGAGGACCTCTTCCCATTGGTCCTGTCCAACACCTTTGTTGTTGGGGTGGTGTCCTGTTGGATCACCCAGGACTCACAGTGTCATTGTCAACAGTAGCTCTGAACCCTGCCCTGTCTTGAACCCTCTCTGACACATCTACCCCCATAACCACAGTCACTGTTAATCTATCTCCTCCAGGGTCTTCCTCTTCTGCGCTGACCCGCCTCCCTTCCTAGAAGGATGTTCTTCTCCGAGGACTGACCTCTCCTGGCAACAAAGCATGTGAAAATGGAGTTTCAGAATCCTTGCCTCCAACGAGCAGCCTGGTTCCACCCTCCCAGGACAGACCTGCTTGTTCTGTCGGTGGTCCATAGGATACTCAATGCTCTTCTCAGGCACCACAGCTCAAAGGCATCGATTCTTCTGTTATCCTTAGCCCTTGCTGGGCTCTCAGATGCATAGCTAGCAACAGTGAAGACCATGGCTTAGATCAGGTGCACCTTAATCCCTAGACTGACATCATTGCCTGACAGCAGACTTTCCTGACTGCTGAAACTTTGAGAGACAGCTTTGTCTTCCCCACCTAATCTATGAAATGGGTACGTACCAGCCCTGCCTTTGTGATGGCGTGTGTGGTGGGGAGAGCATGATAAGGGGGCTGTGCCACCAGCACCCCATGCCCACCACCAGCACTACCACCTCCCCGGCCACCTGCCCACTCTGACTTGCTTTAGGGGCTCCCTCTGCTGGTCCTGGGAGCTTGGGAGCCTCAGGCCAACGGGGGGGGGGTGCAGGGAGCCCTCCTGGCACCACCCCATCCAGGGCCAGCCTGCCTAGTGAGAGATCACTGAGCCTTGTGGCTTCAAGCGGCCAGGCAGGAAGCGGCTGCATTCCTGAAGGAGATGGAATGCTTTCCAGCCCTGGCCTCCCACAGGGCGGTGCTGAGGTCAGGAGAAGGCCAAGGCCAAGGGGAGATGAACAGATAAAGCAGGACTGCTGAGCCAGCTGGCCTGCTTGACCAGGAGAGAGGTGGTGGGAACGAGGACCATGTGTCTGGCCTGGCGGCCACTGTCCCAAGCACCTCCCAGCCAGCCACGGGGCCAGGCTTCCTCTGTCTTGGCCCTGGAC